ATTCTCAAGTTCTGTTGACATTGTTGATGAATCCGAGGTACGAAAAAATCCGACCTTAGATAGTTTTTAATTATGAAATCGATCATAATTTTCAAGAACAACGAGACTGACCTCTCTGTTTGCCCAGAGAGGATAACTAATTCCTATTCGATCCGTTGCAACACGGGGGAAATTGAAAAATCAAACGTTCGGAAATTGAAATGAAAAAACTTGTACTAAAATCTGAAATTTTCGAATCCAAATCGGCGGGATTCTGATAATTCTAATCTTTGGTAGTAACTCAAACTGTAAAGTTAATTTTGATATTTTATAAGTGTACTTTCTGGGGAAAAAAATCGGAGATTTTGAGGATTATTTTCGGAAATCAAGAATCATATCAGAAATTGGAATCTCATATGTATTCCAATTCCAATCCAAACAATTTCTGAAAGATCGTTAATTAGAATTTTAATATTTAAAATAAAAATATTGTTTGAAAATCGTAAAAGTTTGGATCAGAAGTAGGAATCTCATATATATATATATTCTAATTCCAATCCAAAATTTTCGGAAAAACCAAAACTTTAGGAATTCATAATGTAAAATATTGTTCCAAAATTGGAAAATTTTGGATCAGAATCGGTGGAAATAAGAAATGCCGTTTCAATTTCCACCCATTATAGGGTTGCCACACAACATGGTATTGGTTTTCTAATTAGCAAATGATGTGATATTTAATAAAAGCAACAAGACTGTGACACTTGTTGTATGACAGGCGGGAGATGCTGAGCTGTGCTGCATTTGCTTCGAGCACGCTTGCACGATAGAGGTGCAAAACTGCGGGCATCAAATGTGCGCGCAGTGCATTTTAGCAATCTGCTGTCACAGCAAACCCAATTCTTCGAGTGCTGCCAAGAATATCCCGGTGTGCCCGTTCTGTCGAAGCAGCATCGCTCGACTAGTCGTTGCCAGGAGCAAAATAGAGGGCGAGATTGAGGTGGAGGTGGGCCCCACAAAGACAAGAAAAACGAGAAAATCATTTAATCTGGGCGAGTGCAGCAGCAGCTTTAAGGGTTTGTCGTCTTTGGGTTCGTTCGGGAGATTGGGTAGAAGTTCCGGAAGAGTTGCTGCGGAATGTGACGACGTGTTTGATAAGAATTTATAATTTTGATCTAGTTCGGATTCAGTTAAATTTCGTGGGATTAATTTCCCGATTATTCCGGCTTAATAAAAGCTCGAATTTAGTGAAAATGTCAATTATTTTGTAATGTACTTAGATATGATGATTCTCTACTGATCAGCTGCTTGGTTTTAACCATGGATCACTTCTTATTTACTGTGTGTGTGTGTGTGTGTGTGTGTGAGAGAGAGAGAGAGAGAGAGAGAGAGAGAGAGAGAGAGAGAGAGAGAGAGAGAGAGAGAGAGAGAGAGAGATGAACAGTAATTAAATGCTTAACAGAAGAATTAGGGCAGGCACGTGGAGAATCTTTACAAAGACATCACCATAATTAATGCAGGTGCTGTGCATTCACTACTTTTGACCTTAATTAAAAGATTATACTATTAATCAAACTTCAACACAACTGGAGAAGCTGTTAAAAGAAATAAAAAAGAAAAAAATTAATATTCAAATGTTAAATTTAGATGATTAATGAGTAAGATTTCCACACAAACACGAGAGAAGCAACGGGGGTTCCTCCTCGTTCGAATCAATCCAACCCCTCGAACTCGATCGAGGCTGCTGAGGTGGCGGTGGTGGAGCAATTCGCCCTTCAACAAATAAAGAATTCGGATCCAAAACACGGGAAAAATCGTCGGGCCTACCGTAATTGCTAACGCCAACCCTTCTTTCCGCTTCAAGAAAGTGACCGAGCGAAGGGGCATTGTTGTTATTGTTGTTCATACTCACGGCATCTGTACTTAGCCTTGAACACAATGATAGAAACCATGTTCTTGTTTTGTAGTTCCTTTTGTTTCGAATCGGTTCGGTCGTTCTTCCTCTATTGGACCTTCTAGAAAGTTCTAGAATGCTCGAAATGCCGATTAGGCTACCCAATGTTATACTCTTGTCATGGAAGAAAGAACCAGTTGACTGCAACATATGAACAAACATTAACATATATTATGTTGTCACACCCCATACATTTAATTTAATTTTTTTAATCATTAAATTTTAAAGGGTACCCGAAAATTAAAAGAAAAATAGAAATTGAAAGGGGCATGTGAAAAGATTAAAGTGGAAGCACTCCTTTCAACTTTTGTTAGTAAACATAAGCATATGACTTGGTCTGAATCTGACATATATTAAACATGAAACATGCATATAAACAATTCATACACTTAAAACTTTTTCAGAGCAATGTTTCTCCTTTAGCTCCACTATTGATGCAGTAACTATCAAACACCATTAACAGAAAAAGAAAAACGAATAAATAATAATTAAGAAAAATAAAATTCAAGGAAATCTTATCTTTGTTATTTTGTAGCCAAATACAAGAAGAGTGAAATGACTATTTTGCCCTTGAGTGGGATGAAAAACACATATAATTTGAGATAAAAATGGCATCTTTATCTACGTCTTCTACAGAGACGCATACTCTTCTTGCAGCCAAATACAAGAAGAATGAAATGACTATTTTGCCCTTGAGGGGAAAAACATATAATTTGAGATAAAAATGGCATCTTTATATATGTCTTGTGCAGAAGATCAGGAAATCAAACATGTAAGTTTATTTTCCCTTAAAAAAATTGGTGGGTTTATTAATTAATGAACTAAAAAAGGAAAGATGATTAAGAAAAACTAATTAAATTTAATAATTTTTACCTCAGTATCAAGATCAGAAGAAGAATCAGAGGAAGAAACAGGGGAGCCAGTGAGTAAAGTATTGAAGGAAAGAGAACCGTTGACTTCACGATTTCTGACCAGCCCAACTCTCACATTTAGCGGTTGCAGCCCCAATGGCCACCCCTCTTCCTGCATACACATATACATACATACACATATTCAATCAATATTAATAAAATCCAAAAACACACACTTAATGAGTGTGTTTGTGTGTGTGAGAGAGAAGACAAGAGGAGATGAGAGTGTACCTGTTGAGCCATAGATTTTCTTTGTTCGTGGTTAGTGAGATATGGTGGGGAGGGAAAAGTAGTCAAGTTTTTAACGAGGGAGCAAATATTTACTGTCTTTTTCTTATACACTGTCGCTATTTTTTGTTTATTTATTTATTTATTTTTAATTATTTTTTCTTATAAAAGAATATTAAATACTAAGAAGAATATTATTCACTTTTCGTTCCTTTTTCTCTCAATATATTAATGGATGGGGACGTTTGATGTTTCATGAACACAGAGACGGTGGCCTCAAAATTAATTTTCTTTTTTATTTCAAATTGTGAAATAAATAATTTATATTAAAATGATGATAATTGTTCTTAAAAAAGAATTGATTTAATTTAAAAAAATTAAATCAAAATTCATAAACATTAAACTCAGTTTAAAAGTTGTTCTTACTAATTAGCCTAAAATTACGGTGTGTGGAATATGGGTTGTATTGTAATCAAGTGCTACCATCTGCAAGGGTTACTTAACTCAACCTTTCCCCAAAAAAAAAATAGTAATGGTGGGGAAAAATTAGTGGTATGAGAATTGAGATGCACTAGCAAATACAAGAAAAGTTGGAGGGCTAAATGACAAATATGGCAGATAATTAAGGAATCCCAGTTTGACTGAAACAAAGAATTTCGTTAGCCTAAAGATTCCCCTTTAGCCCAAATCAAACAACTAAATGTCATTATGTGTTTTAAGTAAGTAAATTCCTCTTCAAACAAAAATTTAGATTGAATAATCGAACCATTTATAAATATATATATATATAATAATAATAACAATAAATAAAAGAAAAAAAAAAAGAAAAAGAAAAGGGAAAACTGCATTTTGGTATGACGACAATACAGCAGCATTATTACATCTTGTGGATAAGATAAATAGATAATGTACAAATATAAGACCCTTTTTAGGTGTCTACACCCACCCACTTAAAAAATTGTATTTATACAAATTTAACTTTGATTCACATTTATTAGTGTAATAATCCATAATGCAAAATCAAATATTTAATGGGGGTATACAAAAAATTAGGGCTGGGCATTTGGGATCGGGATTCGGGATCCCGTCCCGTCCCGAACGGAATTTTACTATTTGGACTAAAACTTCGGGAATTCGGGATTACGGGATTCGGGATTGGGATTAGGAACAAATACGGGATCGGTATTAGGGAATTGGTTCAATCCCGATCGGGATATTTTAATCCCGAATTAGGAAAAAAAGAAAAAAAAAACTAATAAACACACACACACACACACACACACACACACATATATATATATATATATATATATATATATATATATATATATATATATATATATATATATATATATATATATATATATATATATATATATATATATATATATATATATATATATATATATATATATATATATATATATATATATATATATATATATATATATATATATATATAGTGTCAAGGAGATGAGAAATACAATATAAAATATATTGTTTCAACTTATTTTAAAAATTTTAAAATTTTATTTGTTCCAAGTTTTGTGGTAAAAATAAATAAGACAAGAACAATAGTATGTATATAATATATTTAAGTTGGTTTAGTGTATAAAATAATACTAATGGAGAAAAGATGCAATATTTCTTAGTTTTTAGGCAAAATATGGGATTTCCCGATCCCAATCCCGATTCCCGAAATATTTAGGGATACCGATATAACCGGGATTTAATAGTTTGGGACGGGATTGGGATTTAAAATTTCTATCCCGAATCCCGAAATCCCGATCCCGAAAATCCCGAAATCCCGAAATCCCGTCCCGAACTCACCCCTACAAAAAATTACGTACGATCGATCTATTTAGCAAGCAAGATGCACGTGAAATACGTAGACCAATCATAATTTAGAATTTAAATTGTCAAAATTAATAAGGAAATATATGAATTTTTAATTTTAATTTTTTTATTCAAGCAAGGGAGCGATGACTATGGAAAAACATTAATGGGACATCGTACCGTCCCTTTACTACACAAAGATCCAATTTTAACAAGCTGTAGTGTCGGTGTGATTAATCATGTTAATTACAGGGGAATCTAATTAACAAAAAAAAAAATCAAAAGTTTCCTAATAATAATAATAATAATAATAATAATAATAATAATAATCCGAAGTAATCATAATGTTATTTCTAATAATAATTAAAAAAAAAAAAAAGTAGTCAAAACTATATGGGGTGTGGGGTCCATTGCACCATTCTTCGAGGCTCCCACAAATTATTGTACACCAACACCACTCACAGTTCACAAAAGATTATCACTTATTTCTATTTTTAGCACACTGTATACCAGAGAAATCAAGATATTAAACATAATTTATGTGAGGGCAATTCAGTAAATTCAGATAACAAAAGCTCGAGCGAGCTCGAGGTTTCTAATGAGCTCGAGCAATTTTTTGTTCGAGTAGAACTCGGCTCGTTCATACTCCTATACGAAATAAAAAAATAAATAACTATTATCCAAATACGCTACACATTTTATATCAGTAGTTTAAGTTCTTTAGAAAGAATAAGAAGCTATTATTCTCACCACTTTAATCAGACAATGTTAGCCCACAAAGATTGTCTTTTGCTTGCACCATAATTAAAGAACGAAAATGTCGATGTTTTCACCTTTACACATAATATTTTGATACATTTGAATACAATTAATAATGAATTCAGATTATGCAAGGTGGCATACTTTACGAAAGTATGTCGAAATTTTCAGGCCGAGGTTTTTTTTCTTTTTCTTTGACAACACCTACACGAATGAAGAGCCATTCTTTGAGAAATGTATTAAAGACACAACGATTTGTTGTGCATTTAGTTTACATACGAGTATCTTTCCCTCTACTGCGGTGGGAAGAGAAGATTTATAAATTTGCTCCGAATGTGTACTTTTACGAAGTTCAATCATGCATATTTTTCTGCCTGTTTTACCCCTGAGCATGCCTTGCGCCAGGCCGATACTCTCCAATTCCAAGCAGGTCCTGCAAAATATTTACAATGGACGTATACAAATTTGCACAGAAATTGTCCACGTGGAATAAGGCTGGGAATTAAGGCTAAGGCTTAGGCACCAACAGTATCTAGACAACTTTTCTGTCCTAGATAAGGTGAAGGACCATATCTCGGCATCTTTTATGCTTCTATGTTGCTTTAAGAGACGGGAAAATTCAATGAATGTTTTTTCTCCAAATCCATATAATGAATTTGACTTTTACCGTCCCTAAAATATTTCACCGACCGAATTCGTTTTGTCCAAGAACCGTAACCATTCATAACAATTCACGTAAGCAAATCAAGTGTTTTACTGTTTTAGCATCACAACCATTCAAATGAAGTTCAGTGGTGGCATTCAATTTACTGATTAAAATGAAAATCATCTGAGTTGATAACAAGTTTACATTTTAAGCTTTATATGATTAATTTGCATACGCGGAATTTTTTAAACTTTATATGATTAATAGTTATTTTTTAAGGAGGCACAATTTTATAAAGAAATACAAACCTGGCATGCCCTATTTTTTGCTCTAGTTTCTGCTGTGCTAGGAATATCATGATTTGGTTTCATAAACTTTTTCTCCCGTCGTTCACACGAACCCCATCCATCTGAAAACCGCCCACCCCTAGGGCACAAAAAAAAACAAGAAAATTCATACTAAGCAAAGAATTGGTTAGACGAAAATTCAGTATATTGTAATATCAAACAGAGAGCATACTGCATGTATGCACGAACAATAAACTCAGCACGCTGAACATTGTGGTTCTCGTCGAATTTGATGGTCTTGTCTTTAATTTCAAAAGATAGGTTGAAGTAAAATGCTATCTTCCTCCATCCTGTTGTCCACACGTAACTCAAGTTACAGTTACAGCCCGAAATTTGCCAAACGATTTATTTGGGGAAAATCGAAATACGAGCTAGAAATATACCTGTCTTCTTAATGTATGCATTCCCAGATATCATGGTGTAATCACTTTTCTCCAGTATCTGTCCAGAAGTTATTTAATTCAATAAAAAAAAAAAAAAAATTACCAAAGCAAAACGGAAGTGTTACTGACACAATTCAAAATTCTATTGAGGTGGGAAATTAGTTTGATTAACAACAGGTGGTTTTCATGTTCTAGGTTAAAAGAGAACGAAATAGCACAGATCCAACAATGTAAGGGGTTTTTACAAATTCGAAATTAATTAATCAGCACAACAAATTGCAGCATGAAAAACATTTAAGGAAAAATTGTGTAAACCTTACCGCCATAGCTGCATTTTGGTACTCCTTGAACAGAGAAACAGACGGAAATGGACCGGCCAAACTGTGAGTCAACTCAGTTTTCTCACAACTCACCGTCGACGAATTAGGACTGTGGTAACTCGTCATTGCAAAATTCATCGACTCCGGCGAATTGGTAACATACGCCGAGGGATTGGTTGGGGTGCGGGGAACGTGCTTCACCACCATCATTTGTGGAGGACTGGAATCGGGGACGCGCGGCGAGTTGGTGGTGGTTCTGGCAATCTTGTGCGGGCGGTGATTCTGCACCACCTCGCCGTCGGGGCTAGGGTTGTAATTATAGCGGTGGTTGGGGAATTTTTGTTCGGGGGAGGTGATGGGAAATGCAATTGGGGTCAGGTGTTTGGTGCGGGTTTTGGGAGTGGTGATGGAGGCGGAGGAGGACGACGAAAGCGAGGCGGCGGCGGCGGAGTCGATCACCGCCCATAAAGCGGCGTCGTCTAGATCCTTATCGTCGACGGTGTAGGCGAATGGCGAATTCATTTAACTCCGATTTGAGCTCTTCTTCTCTAGGATGCCGGCTGGTGAGAGTGGTGGAGAAGCCGCGCATTGGGTGGATTTGAATTTGAAATTTCTGAAACGACGCCGTTTCGTTGATTCAGGAGGGTTTTCCGATGGGCCTGAATATTTACGTTTGGGATGTTTTTATTTTGGGGTTGTTTATGTTTTAAATTTATTAAGGCCCAAGCCAATTAAAATCCATTTCTATTTATGTAATCTGTTTTTATTGATTAAATAAAAAAAATAGATATGTCCAAATTTTGGAAAAATAATTATATCAATTAAAAAACCCAAGAATAAATATCCTAATATTGATATAATATCGATACAAATATTAATAATAACACTAATACTATTAATAATAATAATAATAATACTAATATTAATATTAATATTAATCATCATCGTAATATTAATCATAATACTAATACTAAAACTAATGATTTTACACCACACAATGTGTGTGATGTCGCGTTTTGAGAATCTTACGCGGCCAATTTAGTGAACCGTTATCACTTAAATTAATTCCTAGAAAACACGTTTTTAGTAGCCTGCATTGTGTGGTTGTGATCTCAATACTCTGCCTTTCAGTAATCTTTTCCCCCACAATAATAGGGGAAGAAAAATATTTACCCCCACATGAAAGCGATGTGAGATATTACATTATTTCTCTACAAAAAATATTTCTTTATTTTTTATTTTTTATTTTTTTATTTTTAGTTTTTAGTTAAATCAGTTCGAATTTTCGTCTCTAAATTCACACACACACACACACAAAAAAAAGTGCACATAGTCATCATAATGATAAATAAGTAATTATTTAAACATCGAGATTATTCCGTAACTATGTGACAATAATAGATGTAAAATACTAATTTGAGTTTGGAGGGTTTTCCATTAATTTAAATAACGAAATTTGATAAGTGAAAAAGTAAAAAAGTGGTCCTTTTATTTATTTGAATATTTTGGTGTGGACCAAAAACATTAAACATAAGGACACGATAAAATTAGGCTTGTTCCTTTTGGGCCCATATATATTCCCTAAAATGGAATCTATACAAGTGACAAAATGCTTTGGCAGTTGAAACAATGCACATTAATTTGTAATAACTTCTTATGTTTAGGCCCAAAAGAACTCTTGATTTCTCTACCTATCAATATTAAATTAATTTATTTATTTTTTTGTTTTGGGAATTTTGAATATAACTTTTCATATAAAGTCAATTTAACAAAAGGGGATTTGGGATTGAAAAGTTCATTCGTAGATATATGTTGAATGTTTGGTTATAGATTATGCAAGACCCGGAAACCATTTACAATCTGATTTCGATTTTCCACATTTTGACTAACACCAGATCGCATATGCATTCATGTTGATATGTGTAAATTGTATACTATCAATCTATACACCAATTTTAAGAATTCTACGGTACATGTCAAAATTAGCGTTTGGTGTAATGCGGATAGAATTCGAGGTCGACCGATTGTGGTAGTTAGCAAAACCCGAGCTGTTCAACATGCTTTGTCGATTGCAGAGTCTCGAATGGATGAAACTCGATTATTCTTTACCAAACTGCGGGAATTTTTTTTTTTTTAATTAAATGAGAACATCAACCCACAAATCACGGATGCATTTATCAATCAATTGATTCTTGACCAATATAATACTCTTATTTTTTCCAAAAAAACATGATGCCTGGACCTGCACTGGTCTTATTCTAGGAAACCAATAGGTTTTCGAGGTGTTTAAGGTTTAATTTATATTAATATTCTCATGAAAAAAAATACCTTAAAATTTGTATATAATAATGTATGACATAAACATTAAAATAAGTTGGACTTAGTTTTATCGAGGCCAAGGCAAACATCCTTCTATGTTGATTACAAATTTAATAAATAAATCAGTATTATTTATTTATCTCTTTTCGTATTATATATTTGTGAAATACATATCGTCTGATATAGCATAAATTTAACCTCGATAAATATATTTTTTGCAAGCCATTATGCAATTAGATGATATCCAGCCACATGCATAATCATATATAATATGTTACACATAAATCAAAATTTTATATATGTGTAGATCGAAAATTTTAAAATAATAAAAACCAGAAATTGAATTTAAATTTTGAATTTCTGATTCATTTAATTCCACATCGAGAACGAATATGAATGCGTGATCACGATACGATACATTGAAACGATTTTTAATTCTTTTTTCATGTATTAAATCATTTATAATTTCAAGAAGCAATTACAAATAGAAATTTAAAAAAAAAAAAAAAAACCATTTTTACGTTACATTTTTTTTTTTGTAATTTCGTACCATGTGTATAATGGAGATCGGTGAGTCGAAAATTTTCCGATTTACAACGACGATTCTTCATCGTCTTTTCGAGCTTTCTTGATTTCCCGATCCCCTGAATCGTCTTCATTCGTCCGGAAAATAGATTCGATCTCTGGCGACATATCCAATTGTAGCCTCCGGCGAGCTCCCGGCGGCGATTCCGCCTTCCTCTTCGATTTCGACGACTGCGGCCGCGTTTTTCTCGGCGCCGGCGGACACTCCGTGATCGCCGGAATCCTGTGATCGGAGGACGTCGGAGTTTTAAACCCGTCGTCATCTTCCGCCACCGCATCAATTTCCTTCTCCGATTCCCTCAACGAAACCCTAGCCTTATCCGCTATCCTCTTTAATTTCTCAATTTCATTTTCTTCCTCAGCTGCCGTTTCTGTAATCTCCGGCTCAATTTCCGGACAAGAACAGCCCGAATCTCCGACGACGCCGAATCTCGGGCTACAATTACCACCGTCTTCCGATGACGTCATCCTCCTCAGATACGAAGAAAACCGGTTGATTTCTGAGCACATGAGGAATATAATTCAAGGAGAGAGAGAGAGAGAGAGAGAGAGAGAGGAAGCACAAAATCATCAGCTAACCATCTTCTTCTCTTTCTTATTTGCTATTAATTTTGCGAAGGGATTTATCAGATTTATTTTATTGTTCTTTCTGGGACAGATTTGATGAGAAATTAAGAAGAGAGAGAAAGTGAAAAAAAACGGAGTTAGAGAGAGAAAGAGAGTACTGTTAGTGAAGGTGGAGGCGTTGAAGCAGTAGTGTATTTGGGCGAAGGATCCGATGTACACTAACTCTCATAAACCTATTTTACCTTTTCTCACTAATTAAATCTGTCCCCTTCTTTCTCTCTCCTCTCACTCTCTCTCTCTCTCTCTCACACATACACACAGTAACAAAGCACATATTTACACACACATAATTATTTTATTTTTTCATATTATTTAATTGGCAAGTTTAGCCAATTACTAATGCAGATATAATTTTTTTTTTGGGTTTATTTAATATTTAAAAATGTACACACTTTGATGCAACCTAAGCACGTGGCTTGCTATGGGGCCATTACTTTTCCTGATGTTTAACACACAAATCCTTTTTCTCGTGATATTTCGTACACAACACATGATTTCTCGTCTTCCTTTTTTTTTAATTATTTTTGGATGAATTTCATTGGTTTGTTTTAGAAGCCATTGATATAAGAGTGTCACTGTAAGAAAGTTGTGGTTCAATTTTGCCTGTTTTATTTGTGAAGAAAAACCACCATAAATCATATTCATAATCAAATTATGAAATTAGATAATTTCTTGTTAAATTAATTTAATGTTTAATAAAACGTATAGATTATTAATTATGTAATTGAAGCAATATTTTAGTGAGCAGGAAATTAAAAGGTATGTAGATTATTAAAACTCAGTAGTTCAAAGGACAGTAGATTCTGTGGACCTTTGGGGTTAATTTTTATTAATTACGTGCATTAGTAATAAATATTATATTTCAATTAACTTAAATTGTATTCAATACATAAGATCCTGAATTGCTGTAAATAATAAAATATATCATGACAATTTAGCAGTCTTGAATTATCAAAAAATTAGAATTTAATATATATAATATTCATTGTTAAGGGTAATTAGTCAACTTTTTTTTTCTTAACAGAAGTCAACCTCTGTTTGTAAACTACTAAGTACTAACGATTATATTACAATAACAATAATAAAAATCAAAATCAAAATTATGATAATAAGAAATAAATTTCTATATCCTATTTTTCTATATTAAATAAAATAAAGTTTGGGGGAATCTGACGTTATGCTAGTCTAATCTTATGATTGGATTTTTGTGTAGATAATAGATTGTCTGAATATAGGGGTATGTCTCGTGTCTGGACGTGAATTTGGATTTTTCGAAAAGATAACTAATTTATTTATTTTGCTCCAAAAACATTAAAAAAAAATTATTAATGTGAGGTGAAAAATATTTATATGAAAATAACAAAAAAATAAAAAATCAGTGGATCTATTCCGGCCAGCGCTCATTATAAAATTGAGTTAAATCCAAGGCATCATATGTACATGCCACGTGGATGCATTATGACTTTTTGAGATGCCTATTTTAGGATTTTTCGATTTCATTTTTTGGGATATTTTATTTTGAGAATTTAATAGTAAGAAATTTCTTAATGGGTTTTATGAAGATTATTACAAGAAAATTGGAGGAATATGATTGGTCAATGGCTAGATGCTACAGATTTCAGTAACTGCGTACGGCATCGTTTGGTAGGGGTCAATACTAATTGTAATTATGATCATTAAATTACAATAATTGAAGCAGATGAAAGGTTCAATTCCAGAGTTTTAATCATGCAAAATAGTTGATGGTAAACCTCCTTCCAAATCTAACTCCGTTGAATGCCGGCAAGTTCACCTAATTCCGATCTTTCGTCGGAGAAGATGAATTAGACACACGGAAAATGCAAATAGAAAGAGTGAATTTGAAAGAGAGTATAAAATAGTTATCGATTGATGTTGAAAGTCCATCTAATCCCGATATTTGAATCTTCTTTTTCCAACGACTCTTCTTCAGCTAGCTACATATGCCTTACATGTTCAGATGAGTTGGCGAGCTCGTCAGTCGCCACTCTCAGGGTATCGTTTAGCAAACTAGGTACTAACGAGCTTTTTTCTGACGAACTTCTAAAGAGACCTTGTCTTTGACGCATATTGGGCTGGTGGGCCCAATAAATCTCTTTCAGCACATATATTATTTAATAAGCCCAATATGGAGAGTTTGCCTCAAGCTTGTCAAATTGGCCCATCGATAGTTTATCAATACATCATTTCCAAATTAATTTTAAAAATATAAACTAGGTTAGGTAATATTTTAAAAGCCCAATGGCCTAAAATTGTTCTATTTATTAATATTAAAGAGGTCTAAATTTTTGTTTTAATGTATTAAATTTAAGTTAAAGAGGGCCTAATTTTTCATGCATTTACTTTATTACACATGTTAAGTTTTATGGTTTTACAATCCACAAATATTATCACTATATCTTGCAAATTTACTTGAAGATATAAAAAAAATATTAAAAAATAATTACAAATTGTATAAATTGTTTTCCTCATCAAACAAACATTGCAAACCAATTTTATTTTTTAATTGAACATTTTTAGTCGTTTTGCAATAAAGATAGTAAAGCTGTGGAACAGTTAGTTGAATTTTAGTTGGAACAGAAAATGGTTGCGGCTGTCAAATTTAATGCTAGTCAATAATATAATTAATAGTTAATTAATTAATAATTAATAAATGGTCCTTCCCACACTTCTTCACATGGTGGTTTCAAATATACAAACATTGATGGATAAAGAGAAGCTAATTAACCCCTATTTATTCACAGAGTTGAAAGAATCTTTAATTTGTACCTAATTTACGTGTTTGGTCACGTAATTATTCTTAAATCTTTGTTGGGGTGGGGGTAAGTAACATAGGATTCCAATTCCAAATCCAAAGATTTGGTAATCCATCTTATCTTATCCACATTTCACACAAATCTAATCAATTACATGTCTACTATTTGGTATCAAGGTCATGATATATAAGAAGTGTTATAAATTATATACTATATGAAGTTATTTAAATTTCCTACATTATATAAATTATTCGGTCGAACTCGTCTTACAGGGTCTGTTCTATGCATTTTTATATTTCTCTTGTGGTTTGTAGGAAATTGAACAAACACATAAACTACAGTTCCTTTTTGAAAATTAAATAAAAGGGCAAAATACATTTACACCCTTGACTTGTGTTAAAATAATTTTAGGGTCCCTATAATATCTGTAATTACAATCACCTGAAACATTGTTAGAAACCCTAACGGAATAATACATTGGATAAGTTTTTCCGTTAGGGTTCTAACGGATTATTAATTTCAGGCAGTGCTGAACACAACATAGAGCTAACGGGTGACACGATTCTCCTACATTCCATAAATCTTTATTATTTTATATAAAATTTATAAATTTACGTATCTGGTAACATTAACGACCCCACATGAAATAAATATAGTGCATATCGGTCGCCAGTACATGAAATCTTAGCTCCGCTTATTGGTTTAGGGATGTGACTGTAATTATAAATACCATAAATACCTTAAAATTATTTTTACATAACTCATGGGTGTAAGTATAATTTACGCTTAAATAAAATAACACAAAAAACGAACAAATTAGAAGAAATAAAAAAAAAAGGGAATATTCCTCCAAAGACCACAATTTATCACGATACCTCAAAATCTCACGATATAAGATATAATACAAAACCCCGAAGTATAAGGCGGGGTGGTGGGGACGTGCAGGCCGGGACCGGGTGCATTTTTCATCATGACATCAACATCACAGCCGAAATTCAATGCCCAATCACACGCGCGATATCGCATTGTGTGCCGTACACGCGCTAACCAACATCCTATGACCGGGCCCTCGAAACTGTAGTAATATTTAGTAACAGTCAGTTAAAAAATTAAATTAAATTAAAAGATTAATTAAAGTTGGCTGAATAATTAATTAATAGTAAAGAAAAAGGAGATTCACGGACTCTTATGATGCATCATTGCCTGCTAATTCACATGCTTGATTATGATTTTGCCCCCATTTATTTCCACCAACCATACATCATGTTAATTTCATGCCTCACTCTAGCTAATTATTTATTTCTATTTTTGAAAATTCAAAATTAATCGGCAATTTAAAAAAGAAAAAAGAAAAACAGAGACCAAAATTCGGATAATTGTGTAATAAAGCACTCTAATGAAATCAGCCAATTAGGCCTCACCCACGTTATATGTTCTAACACACCACATGATATCTGTTACTCCCTCCTTCCCTCATTATTTGTCACTTTTGTTAGTTGCACACATATTAAGAAACTCAATAAATATGCATAGATAGTAGCAAAAAGTATAGTAAATCACTAAAATACCCATGCCATTAATTGATTTTTAAATAATTATATTTCAATTAATTATGAGTGAGAAAGGGCAAAATTGAAAAAAATGCAATTAATTATTTATTGGAATAGTAAAATGACAAATAATTTGAAATATGAAAAAATGGCAAATGTGACAAATATTAAGGGAAGGAGGGAGTATTATCCTACAAATTAATATTGACCTCATATTTCAGCTGCTCCAATCAACCATTAATTAGTGTCCATTAGTTTTCACCATATTCTTCTAATTTTTTAATGTCGCACGATTCAACGTCACGTTTTGCAATTCCTTCTCCTCATTTTTTGATCCATTTCGTGGGCGCTACATACATCCAAAAAAAGTTGTTATGGCGCTGGGATTGGTCCTGGCGAAAGCCCTCCGACGCTCAAGTCAGTTTTGTATGATAAAAGAATTCAAAGAATTCAAGAGACTGCTTGGGAGTTATGAATTGCTTACCTTTGATTGTGAGGTTTTCGGGTATTTGTATGGATACATATATTTTCATGGGCCTAAGCCACTTAGCTTGAGCTAACTTGGACTGATTTGGACCTGACTATTTAGATCATGACCAGTTTGTGCCTTAACTAACTTGGGTTTGTATTATTATTTTTAGTCGATTTGCGCTTGATTTGTGTGTCTCTATGAGCCTTTAGGCGTGGGCCTATCAACCTTCGTTGTGCTTTAAACATTCAACGAATACTAGTTCGATTATGTGGCTGAACCAACATTTTAAGTTCGAGGGGGCTGAATGCATTAAAAAAAATTATGAGGAGAGGCGTTAGTGCTATTGTATATAAAAAATGTTGGGGGTCATGGCCTCTCTGGCCCATGCTAGTTGCACCACTGACTGAATTAAAATATTATATCCCGTACTATGTTAGTATTACAAAACCTATTGTTATTTTGCTAATGATTTGAATTTTTGGAAGCTGCATGCATGGTGGTGGGCATAGTGATGATGCTCAATTATCCCTCTCAAATGTACTATTTGATTTCATGGAGATTTTGCATGTGTTTCTTTTTCATGAGAAAGTTAGAGCACCCGATTTACCAATCAAAGATTCGACGAAAAAAAAATATAGTACGATTTTTTATTTTTTTTCCTTAGTGTATAGAAAGGACATGTTCCCACACAATAATGTGCTTCTTTTTGCAATATGGCTTGGAATGTCAGGATCTATCGCCAAAATTTGCCTAGATTGTCTTTCTGAAAGGGAGATATAGAGGGTTAAATCACCTTTAAAAAAATAAAGAGGAAATGTATTTTTTTTTTATTTTTATAAATAATGTTGATTGGATTATTTGGTTCAGACTCGAAAACGTGATCGTAAATGCTTGGATTTATAAGTTATTTGTTTCAGACTCTGATATTAAGAAATAAACGTGGTATAGAGTTGATGCAAGCATATTTCAAGAACTGAGTACTTGATGTATATATTCTTAATAATAAATGGATGAACTAAATTATTTGATTGATAAGTTTTTAGAGTTTATTTGCTTTTAGTTTTTCAAATACAGGAGATGATCTTGCTGGTATAAATAACACGATGGGTTATTTTAGCAATTATGATAAACACAGGGTTCATGCATGCAATAAAAATCATAAATTTTATAAAACATTCAAAATAATGTTGAATAACAGGCCATGAAGGTCGGGGTGTTCACTCGGTCGGTAAACCGACGGTTCACTAAAGAAAATAGTATTATCGAATGAACTTGGGCCGTTGGCCCATAAATTTCCTTAATTTGTTAAACAATTAATGGGCTCATGGTGGACTTGACAAATTGTAATGGGCTCATTTTTGGGATTATTAGTTAACTATACTGAATTACGACGACTCGACGATAAACTAATTTTTGATGAATATACTTTCGATATTTTTTCAAGTCACTCTCAATTTTCGGAAGTTTGCACACATATTTCGTTAATTATGTCGTATTATTTTGAAAATAAAATTCGATTCAGCTTCGATTATAAAGATGAAATCTAGTAAATTCATAAATACACTTAAATTTTAGCAAATACAAATCTAGACGTAAAGGATCCAATCTAAATATGAAATAAGTATGTTTTTATTGCTAGTGATATTCAGTCTACAAGATGCTACATTAGGTGATTTTAAACCGTATTCTACATACATAATTATTCATTAAGTACGCATACATTCAGTATACACGAGTGTAGATATACAAAATCATGATGGTCAATCGAGGAGTTATTAGCTAATTTTCACTTTCATTAAAAAAATTAACAAAAAAAAAATAATATATATATATATATATATATATATATATATATATATATATATATAATTTTACAATTATCACATTAATAAATTTTCAAGCCGAAGGTCCGGGTCAATAGGAGGCAAAGCGAGGTTTCAGGTGCATTTGAGAGGCGGGTTTCATTTCGATCGCATTTGCATTTCATTTGCGCTCTGTCGTTCATTCATTCTTCCCATTTTTCGAAACGTGAGGCGCTTAATTGTGAGAAGACGAGAATAATTTTCTGCTTATCGATCAACGTGATTCGAAGTCCTTTTCTTCCTGTTCACCGTTCCTCCATTTCTAGGGTTTTGAAATACCAAAACAGGTGACGCCATTTCTCTTTCATTCAATTCTCACTTTCACGATTGATCACTTCATCTCGTTCTAATTGTACGTAGATACATTTTTTTTCTCTCTCATCGATCAGCATTTTTTTTCTTTTCATTTGTCGATTTTTGTCGTTTCATGTGATGTTTGATTGATGCATTCATGTATACGTTTATATGTATGTGCGTATGTGAGATCTCCGATCAGATCATCAGTTAATGTTACTGGTGTTTTGATCAGTGATGCTGAATTCTAAAAATGTATAATCTATTTGGCATTTTGCATTATGAGGTGTTTGATTAAGTCCCGTGATTGGCTCTGCATTGAATTTTCGAAGTCGGTTGTTTGTTGATTGAATCAATTGGTGAAATGGTACATCAAATGGATGAATCTGACCTTAAGTATATGATGATTGGATTTTTTTTCTCTGTTTATTCGGTGTGATGTGTTGTTTAAAGTTGATAGAGATGTGGATGAAGACTGTATTTCATACTTGATACCATCAGCGGAAAAGGAATGTGTTAGGACTGTATGGAAATGGCTAGGTGGGATTGGATTTGGATTTTATTTTTGACTAGATAGGAAACAATCGCAGTTACTTATGGGTGTGTATATAAGTGATTGGTCAGATGGGAATTATTCCTTTGTCACTGCAGATTTTGAATATTATTTGGCACCACGAAATTAAAATTTTGGGCAAAAACTCGTGATTAGGGTAAAATTTCTTGCAATCTAAACTGAAAAAGCTATTTTTGTTGGCTCGGATAGAGTTTCTTGTATTAGTTACTTGCTTATACACACATGTTCTTTGAGCATATGCCAAAATCAACTTTAGCTTATAAATCGCAAGGCATGAATAAAGTTGGTTGTGTGGATGTGATGTTTTAGCCGGAGAACTAACACCCCTTTGCAGGTTAAAAGCTAAATGGCGGACGCTGAGGATATTCAACCTCTTGTTTGTGATAATGGAACAGGCATGGTCAAGGTAATGATTATTTCAATACCCGCCTCTGTTTTGGTTCAATTTTTATTTTATTTTATTTTATTTTATTTTTACTTATATATGGTTGATAAATGATGTAATAGGCTGGATTTGCTGGAGATGATGCCCCAAGGGCAGTGTTCCCCAGCATTATCGGTCGCCCACGCCACACAGGTGTGATGGTTGGCATGGGGCAGAAAGATGCGTATGTAGGAGACGAGGCTCAGTCCAAGCGTGGTATTCTCTCTCTGAAATACCCCATTGAGCATGGTATCGTCAGCAATTGGGATGACATGGAGAAGATCTGGCATCATACGTTCTATAACGAGCTCCGTGTTGCTCCAGAGGAGCACCCGATTCTTCTCACAGAAGCACCTCTGAACCCTAAGGCTAACAGAGAGAAGATGACTCAGATCATGTTCGAAACCTTCAATTCCCCTGCCATGTATGTTGCTATACAGGCTGTTCTGTCTCTGTACGCTAGTGGTCGTACAACTGGTAAGTTGGTCCCTTTTTTATTATTGTCGTAGTCTTGTTTGAATAGAAAATTTAGGTATTAGAAGGATATCAAAATTACTCCAATTTCTGATTATTCAAACTTCACTATATCTTGCACGCATCATAATTTTCTTCTCATGCATACAGCCTTTATTATGTCTAGTCATCTCAAAACAGAGCTTCTACCTATAATTAGTATTCTTTTAAAAATATTTATCTTGTGTTTGCAGGTATTGTTATGGATTCTGGAGATGGTGTGAGCCACACAGTCCCTATCTACGAAGGGTACTCTCTCCCACACGCTATTCTCCGTCTCGACCTAGCTGGGCGTGACCTCACAGACCAGCTAGCCAAAATCCTCACGGAGCGAGGCTACTCGTTCACCACCTCAGCCGAGAAGGAAATCGTGAGAGACATGAAGGAGAAGCTTTCGTACATTGCTCTCGATTTCGAGCAGGAAATGGAGATATCCAAGACCAGCTCCAACGTCGAGAAGAATTTCGAATTGCCTGACGGTCAAGTGATCACCATCGGAAACGAGCGTTTCCGTTGCCCTGAGGTGCTTTTCCAGCCATCTATGATTGGAATGGAAGCTGCTGGCATACACGAGACCACGTACAATTCGATTATGAAGTGTGACGTGGACATAAGGAAGGATTTGTACGGGAACGTTGTGCTTAGTGGTGGGTCCACTATGTTCCCTGGTATTGCTGATCGAATGAGCAAGGAGATCACTGCTTTGGCTCCTAGTAGCATGAAGATTAAGGTGGTGGCCCCACCTGAGAGGAAGTACAGTGTTTGGATTGGAGGGTCTATTCTTGCATCACTCAGTACCTTCCAGCAGGTTTATTTTAGTTTATTGCATATTTAATTGTCACGTTTTATACGATTGATTGATTGATTATTGACAACGTATTGGTTTGTTTATGCAGATGTGGATAGCGAAGGCTGAGTACGATGAGTCCGGCCCTTCGATTGTGCACAGGAAATGCTTCTAATCGGAAGTGGTGATTTTGATGTTCTGATTATTGCTATGTGCTTGGGAAGATAGAATAATGCTCGTGTTATGGTTTCTTGATTTTTGTACTTGTCGTTTTTTGTATTGGTGTCGACAGCTTAGAGATCTTTCTCAATTCATTTGTTTGATTTGATGTTTGGAGAGATTTAGCAGCAAGCATAAAGAGTTGTCTACACTATGTTTTTTTTGTTGTTGTTTTGTATTCTTCTAAGGATTTTTGCTCTGGTGGAGCTGTTTCTGAGTGATTCATAAATAGTTTATATTATTTGGGTTTTATTGATATACATATATTTTTTTAAATTTGAACAGTGGAGCAATTTTCAGAATTTCTTTTTTAATATAATTTTTTTTTTATATATTTACACTTGAAAGCTATATCAAAATTCAAAATTAAATAATCTTTAATTTTGAAAATCATCCTAATCCACCAAACTAAGCATCTTGGATTTTAGAAATTGTGTACAAAGTTAAGAAATGATTTTCTGTTAAAAATAAAGGGAGAAAAGAAATGGTGAATTGATTTGTGGAGCAAATATAATAACTTTTTAAATAGAAAAATTAATTTCTGAAAATATTTAAATCTTACCCTAAAATCGCTTCTGAAAGAATTCGGTCTTCTTAAAGTATCAACACGTTTTATACATGTATATATAACATTTTCGTTGAAGCCTGAAACAGTTTGAACAATTTCATTAAGAAAAACAGGAAAAACGCAGAGCCCCAAAATTCAGCAAAACAATTAACGGTAATCAAATATGGGTAGAATCGCAGTTGCATCGATCGTAATTCTATGGCTAATCCCCATCTCAATTCTGGTTAATACCATTGTTCCCGCTCCTTACATGGTAAACTCTTTTTCACCCTTTTTGATTGACCTAATTTCTGGCGAATAACAATGAATTTCACACACACTGCGTGTAATTACCTCTTTAAAATGATATATTCTGCTCTAATTGTGGAAATTCAGGATGAAATATTCCACGTACCGCAGGCGCAACAGTATTGCCGAGGCAATTTCAGAAGCTGGGATCCCATGATCACCACTCCACCTGGACTGTGAGTCTCTTCGTTTTGGTACTTCTTCGTAATTCCCTTTTTTTTTTTAATTCGCAATGTTGTGAACTCTGAACTATGAGGGCTGGAGGCTTACAATTTATGTTGATTAGGAAATAAAATTTGATGGAGCCTCTTGTGATTATTTTTCGTAGGATTAATCATCACATGTAGTGGCTGACTTTGTGGTAATCAATTTCTAAAATATTTCACAATTCAGGACGGGGATTCGATAACGGCGGGTTTTCGTTTTAAAATTAGAATCTATTTGGTTTCTAGCACAATGAATTTTGCATGGCAGGTTTAAGAAATGGTTTTCGACTTTGTAAATTGTAATTGAGATTGATGAGGTTTTATAGGTTCAGATTTTGAAAAATAATCAACAAAGTGAAACGAATTGAGAAAAAAAGGTAAAGTCATTGCAGTGTAGAAGTGATACGTTTTAGTGCTCGATCGATTGAAACTTCCGAGTAAGAGAAGTTGATAAATGCAATATAATACTTTTGCAGGTACTTTCTTTCACTTGCCTATGTTGCTTCTTTGTTTCCAGGATTGTTCTGTATGCAAGCTGTCTCGTCATTTTCAGACTCGTGCTCAACTTCAATTCTACGCCTCACGAATGGGGTTCTGGCTGTAATATGTAGCGTTCTAATTTATGAGATAATTATTCATTTGAGACCGTCACTCGATGACAAGAAGGCAACCCTTCGTGCTGTGGTTTTGTCATTGTACCCACTGCACTGGTTTTTCACTTATCTGTACTACACAGACGTTGCATCACTAACAGCAGTACTTGCCATGTATCTTTTAATTCTGAAGAAGAAGTACCTGTTTAGTTCATTGGTAAGAAATTTTCTTGAAATTTACCCGTTTCATATGAAGTATGTCAATATGATTATGATGTTTATTCGCGATTAAAATGCTGATTTATGATTTATTATTGATGGAATGTTCTATTATCGTCACTATTGGACCAAAACGCTATCGGATCTATTATATTTTTGCCTTGGCAACTTTGATTCTAATTTTTCCCTCTTACCTTTTTTTATATTCCGAATCATAAACGATTTCGTTGATTCATTTTTGGTAGATTGGAGCCTTGTCTGTGGTCATACGACAAACAAATATTATATGGGTGCTTTTTGTTGCGTGCTCTGGCGTTATTGAATTTACTCAGTCTCGTAGAAAAGATAGAGCGGAAGTAGATGGCATCAGCTCATCAAAGGAAAAAGAGGATCTGTCTGCCAACCTGAAAGATGTATCAATAGTCTCTAACTTGAGAAAGCGAAGGGTCAATAATGGTGCAAAAAGTCGTAACAAAATTACTCCGCAATCCTCTGTTCCTATGACATATACATCAGGTTATACTTTCATTTCATGCAATTAAGTACATATTATTTAGGTGAAAATATTTAAGTGGGGTATATAACATTATTCGTACCAGCATGTCAGAAGAATTAGTTGCCATGTAACGACTTGCTGGCAATATTGGTTTTTTCTGTGTCCTGTGTTTGCTAACTATGTTTTTATCCATGTTTTTGTATGTGATGCAGGGTTGCTTGATGAGATTCACGACATAATAATTATTTCATGGAATCATTTCTGGGAGCTTTTCGTTTCCTTTAGTCCATCCTTTATGGTATTTGTGGCATTTGTTGCTTTCATTCGCTGGAACGGGAGTATTGTCCTTGGTATTGTCTACTTTCCTTTTTGCTAAATAATTATCTATTTACATGTCTTCACATTCTTTATTTACGTGGAACACAGATTGTTCTCTGTTTTCCGAGCTTCTAATTATAAAATTTACATTATATGCTCTGAATTTTCAGGTGCTAAGGATGCGCATACAGTTTCTCCCCATTTCGCTCAATTATTGTATTATGGTGTGGTCTCTGCTCTGTTTATGGTTCCTGTCCACTTCTCTTTAGATCAAGCTGCTCTTCTGTTCAGACAGTTCTGCAAGAAGAAACTGCTTTCCGTTTTCCAGTGGTTCATGGCATTAGCTCTTGGCTTCCTTTCTGTCGAATTTTTCAGGTTTTCATCAAAGAAACTCTAGAATCATTGGTGCATCTATTTTCTCCCAATTGCTTGGACACTGAAAACCGAGTTAGCTAATTTACATGATACGGCAATTTTATTGACTCAATGTGGACTCCTGTATATTCCAATAATATGTTTTATTTACATGTGCAGCATAGCACATCCGTATCTCCTTGCAGACAACCGGCATTATACCTTCTATCTCTGGCGAAAAGTCATCAACTACAATCGGTCAACGAAGTACCTAATGATCCCACTTTATGTTTACTCGTGGTTTTTCATTGTGGGTAACTTGGGTTAGTGCAAAGTCCAGTTCGAGTTTATATATATATATATATATATATATATATATATATATATGCTTAGTATGTGAATTTTATGAGCATATCGATTTTCTTTTTTAAAATTATTTGCAGCAAAAAATCAGAAGAAGCTATGGGTGTTGGTATATTTTTTCGCGTGTGCTGCATCACTTGTCCCTGCTCCGTTGATAGAGCTCAGATACTATACAATTCCATTCTACTTCTTGATTCTCCACACAGATATTCCCGAAAGCAAGAGTTGGTTTTTCATGGGATTCCTTCATATTTCCATCAATTGCTTCACAATGTATATGTTCTTGTTCCGGCCTTTCTATTGGAAGCATGAAGCTGGTGCACAGAGGTTCATATGGTGATAGGTATGCCCGAAACGCAAAAACACTCCAAAATTTGTCAGGCAAAAAATTCCCAGGTTCTAACTTCTAATACTCCATTATTTCATTTTTGTTTTTTAATTGAGCCTATTTTGATATTTTACAGTAGCATGTAAGATCCATATCATACTTACAGTTTGTTAAGGGTTTATACGATGCGATGCTACACCCGGTGAAATCACTAATTGTCCCTGTTTATTAATACTTCACTACAATAAACACATACATATATTTCAAAGTACAAATACATTGTATTCTATGCAATCCTGGAGGCTTGATATAGGATCCTGTTTGTACCTTGAATCCTGTTAACATCTATAAATGCTATATAGATGCATATAGTTTTTTGCAGTAATATATATATATATATATATATATATATATATATATATATATATATATATATATATATATATATATAATGAAATTTCTTGATTAAACATCAGAAATTTCTCTTAGATAACTTGACCCTCAATCCATGCTTCATTTCAAGTATGATACAGTCATGACGAGGAATGACCGGATGACCCTCCACCAGGTGAATGTTGTAGTGATATATAATTGTGGCAGCCACCATTTTCATCTCAAAGAAAGCCATTTCTTTGCCTAGACAAGTTCTTGGTCCTATGTTAAATACTGGAAACTTGTAAGAAGGCACGTGCTTAATTATCGCAGTACTACTAGTAGTTGAAATCCATCTCTCTGGCTTGAATTCCAAGCAATCTTTTCCCCATACGGACTCCATTCGTCCAATCGAATAAAAAGAAAGGATGACTTTAGCATCTTCTTTTATGTAATGTCCGCTCGGTAGATTATCGGATTTCATCGGAGATTTGTGCTCCAATGGCCCCGGTGGATACAACCTTAGCGACTCGCACAAAGCAGCATGCAAGTAAATCAGTTTTTTCGACTCTTTTACGGTGAATAATTCCCATTTAATCCTACCATCTTTGCCCTTGAGATGAACTAGTGCAGTTTCGATTTCTTCGAGAATCTTCGCTATGGTGGCAGGGTTTTTGGTAATTAGATACAAAACCCACGTGAGACACGTAGAAGATGTGTCTCTACCTGCGAGTAACAAACCCAACACGGTGTCCCTCATGAATTTATTTCTTGACGAGTCACCTCTTAGTAACGAAGAAACGTTTTTTTCTTCGTACGCCTTTGTAAAATTGGTTAACAAATTGAGGTTGTCGTCATCATTATTGATTGCAAGAAGTGGATATATGAATTCGTCAACGATTTTTCGACCTTCTAGAAGCTTCCTCTCTCTTCCGATTCCAAGCCGTTTTTGGAGCTTCCACACGAACTCAGGCAGAATATGCCTGTGAAACACGGCTTCGATGGAATCACAAAAGGCCTTCATGGATGGAATAACCGGCAAGTCAACGCACAAGCTTTTCGGGTCAAAGTCCAACACTAGTTTACAGATACTATCGAAAGTGAACCTTTGGAAAACATCTTGCAAATCAAAATCTATATTCCCTTGAAGAAAATGGTCGAGAACGGGTAGAAGCCCGTTTTCGACCTTTTGCCAAACGACACCCTCCAGCAAAGAGTTGAACTCGGGGTGAGTCATGAACGAGTGAGTCGTCCTCCTTTGGAATTCCCACAACTCGTTATCAACGCTGAAAATCGAATCTCCAAGCTCTTCGAATATCTTCTTGAACTCGGGCCCCTTTGGATAGTTTGAGAAATTTTTGGTGAATATGTGATTGATATTGTCCGGATTAGAGGTGATTAACGTATCCATGTTGAGGAAGTGGGGAAATTTGAATTGAAAAGTGCCACCGCTTTCGATTAGAATCTCCGTAATATAATCCTGCATTCGGTGGCGGTTCCGTTGAATGGCAGGCAGCATTCCGACTAATGGCCAATTTGTGGGCAACGATGTTTTCTTTCCGTAGCTTTTACGATTACATATTCTCCAAACACAAAGGATGATTACATTTACGGGGATGAAAAACAAGAAAATCTCGGGATATTTAAATATCGTCATTTGTTTATTTAATTATGTACGCGTTTTGCAGTTTCTTGCAGGATGACAAGTTTCTGTCAAGTGTTGTAAGATACTATTTTGATCATTAAAACACGAGTACAATCCACTATTTATATAGTACTCTCATAAGTAACGGGAAATTAGATGTTACACCTGGTTTATTTACAGTGGGATATCGTGAACCGTAGATCTACACATAATTACACACACCCATGTGTATATTGGGTGATCCTGAATCGTAAATCTACACATAATTACACACACTCATGTGTATGTGTGCTTAATCGGTTATCCAATTTACCCAACTATTCATTTAAAACCCGGTGCCGAATATGGAAAAAAAAAATATAAATAAATAAAGACTATTAAAATAAATTGGTATTTAGAATTAATATTGCCAACCCTAGCTACTGACTTTTCCCGCGCAGCCATGCATGCATGTGTAGTGGATTTGGCTTTGCCTATTGATTTTATAGAAATCAAAGATTTAGCACTCGCCACCTCTTTAACTCTAATTGTTGAAAAAAATCTGGTCCCCAATAGATACTCAAAACCAATAAGATTAGATTTCTATGAACCGATCGTGTACTGCACTCGCCATTTATACGATCGTGGATAGTTTTTGATCCGGAAAGATCCGAATATAAATTATTTTATAAATAAATATAAATTTAATTGAATCTAAATATAAATATAAATTGAGTACAATTGACTCTTTATTTTAGTCAATCAGTCCTGGGGTTTATTTATGATTATGTTAGTGACGGAATCCTCTACTTCTAGTACTCTACTAAGATTAAAGAACATAATGAACCCAAATAGTTCATTTAATTACAAATGAGCTTTGCATGTAGTATCAAAATCATAATTAGATTGCTAGATCTGATGAATTACCCCAACTTAGGGGCACAATACATAATAAATGTTATTGACCAAGTTAATTAGATCAGTAATTATGAGAAAATGATTGTTCAGACTTCTTTTTATTTATTATGATATTTTGCATTACGTTTTATCAAAAAACATTTAAAAGTAAATGATAATCTCGGGAAACTTAAAGTAAAAACTAACGCCCACCGTGGGGCTCGAACCCACGACCACAAGGTTAAGAGCCTTGCGCTCTACCAACTGAGCTAGACGGGCTGATGACATTTCTTTGAGGGATTGTTTTTGTATTCCTTCAAATTATCTTCCCATACCATAATGCCAAGAAACGAGAACGCGAATGGCAGAAAATTTCTGAATCTGACAATTCCGCCTTGTGCTTTTCTGTTCTTTTTCTGTGCCTTAAGAAATCTCGTTCCGTGGGATTATGATTTATGATTATATATGTTGAAGGAAGAGCCGTCGTCATCAGCCCGTCTAGCTCAGTTGGTAGAGCGCAAGGCTCTTAACCTTGTGGTCGTGGGTTCGAGCCCCACGGTGGGCGTATGCATTTATAAATAAATTTATATGTTTTTACAAATTAGAATCTTATTTTTGAATAAACTGTGTCGAGGCCCAATTACAGCCATTTTATTCAACTTATATACTATTTGAGCCTTAATACGTTTACTACCAATTGGGCCTATATATCTTTCAAAAAATAAAATTAAATATTGGGCCTATATATCATTATTTCCATGAAGTGCATCAGATATTAATTAATCGATTAACCCCTATGCACTTAAAGTGGAACTAATTAAAAAGGATGGAAAAATAATTGAAGTTTTGGTGGGGGGCCACATCATAATTAAAAAGAAATTCCCCATACACAGCAGACGGAGGAAGTTTATTTATACCCCACTCTTTAAATCAATGGTGTCTGATAAAAGTAGCTCTCATGTAATAATTCCCCTTCTCTTTTTCTTTGTCATTTAAATTATTGTTACATAGATGGATAAGTCACTTCACATGGATGTTAACTTGTAAGAAAATAATGCTTATGTGTCCACATCATGAACAAACTACCCATGTGGTGGAACCACATGAACGGGTGCAAACGAGTCGAGCCGAGACGAATACTTATTTATTTGATCAGCTCAAACAATAAATTTAGAATTTATTGTAGTACTGCTGATATTTATATTTTTTATAAGGATGAACAAACGATATACAGTGAAACAATCTAAAATTAATACGGTTAACCAATCAAATTATATTAATTTATCGAAATATGTTTTAGCAAATTATCCTCAAATTGAAATTGAAATAAAATACTATTTAAACGAGATTATTAACTTATCGGGTATTAATTTAATAACGGTCTCGAGTAGATCAATAGTCAATTATTCCCACTAACTCGAATTTTCTAGAAAACAATTGTAAAATATCTCAATCGTGAAAAGAGAAAGACTACAATGTAATGCGCGTGTCCTATGGACCACCACTACCTTCAGATCTCGCCACGTGTACGGCCGATCTCCACCACAATCGCCTCCCCACTCCACTATAAAAATTGAGGCCACCGCTTCATCTTCTTCACCAACGATATTTGTTAATTAATCACTGTAATTTTAAATTTCCTCCAAAAGAAAAACTAAAAATGTCTTGCTGTAGTGGCAAGTGTGGCTGTGGCGCTAACTGCAAGTGCGGCAATGGCTGCAGCGGGTAAATTTATTATATTTTTTTTATTATTAATATAATTAGTTTAATTTAGGTACTCAGAAAACTTAAAATTAAATTATATGCAGGTGCGGTATGTACCCAGACTTGAGCAGCTACTCGGAGGCTGCCGGCGCCGCCACCGGAGCCGTCATCCTCGGCGTTGCTCCTACGTACGCATACATCCATTTCTATTTTTTTTTTTTTGATTTTGTTTTGGTGGAGATTAAGAAACGATTTATTAATTAATTTATAATGAAATTATTAATTACAATTAAAATTGCAGATATTTTGGGGGATCGGAGACGGTGATGGGTGGTTCCGAGAACGGGTGCAAGTGCGGTGCTAATTGCACGTGCGATCCATGCACGTGCAAGTGAGAAGAACCAATATCGTACGTGCGACGATGAAGAAGAAGAGATGATGATGTTGTACTAGTACCGTACGTGTGTCTGAATATGTGCCCTTTTCTAATAAAAGTTGCCGTTGAGGGTTTCAAATAGTTTATATATATATTTATATATATAAACTTATATATATGTATTATATATGTATGTGTGTGTGTTTCATGTACTACAGTACTAGTACTAAAATATATTCATCTCTGCTTATTGATCTAATTATGTTAAATAATTTAGCTATAAAGTGTGGTAAGCTATATTTCTCAAGTGCCCAAATCGATATTTGAGGAGGGGTGAAGTGCCAGAAAGTAAAATCACGGGGTGTTAAGTGCTATTTACCCTAAATTTAAAGCAATCTACTACTAATTATTTCATGTAACAAGCGTGCTAGAATTATGGACTTGTTAATTCCACACACGCCATACATACATATACATGAGTAGAACCGATTGGTTTTGCCAACGGAAAATGTCTAGTCGATGGTGTAAGGAAAAAACTATATTAACGATTTGAGTTCGATCATCGTCCATATATATTTTTAGGTCAAACTCGTGATCGCATAGCTTCTTCATCGCGATTTAAATTTTTCATGTACAAATGATTTACAGACTAGCTATTGCATCGGAGAGTGATTTATCCTTGTGCACTTATGTGATAATTAAATGTGTCGCTTGGTTTGTAAATGTCTGGTGCATTATAAACAACATTTTGCACAAAATAGAGAATATTTTATGGAATAAATATTGAATTTGATATAAAAATGAACGTGTAAGAAGATTCATAATTGAGGGTGCTTGTTATTACCAAAAAATGAGGGATATTTTTGTAATTTGATCTTACCTTGGGTAGCCGTAATTTACTCTAAAACTAATGGAGTACTTTAAGCACTGGAGTGCAGAATATATGACTTATAATGGTAGAACCAACAAATAGATTCAAATAACCTAGTAAAAATTACATTACAAAAGCCAAATATTACAACAAACACTGCACACAAAATAAGGACACAATAGGAAAAAACACTAGGCGTTGAGTACGAGGTTTGCTAATAGTCCTCTTGCAGCCCTTCCGAACATGTTATGCACCTAAAATATAAGAATTTCATCCATGGTTAAACTTCAATTTTAAACCAAAAATTCATTGAAAAAAATTAATTAATTGTATTTTATATTTTTACCTGCTTTGAGGATAAGCCAATCTTCTCTAGATCACCTAGCTGCAATCATTCAAAAAAAAGAAAAAATTCAAAACGAATGCAACAATACTTGAAAACGGTAGATAGATATAATTATTTCGATATTTCTTACGGATTTTAGAGGGCTAGTTTCCCTTAGCTCAACGATGTATTCGGCTATCTTTTCTCCGATTCCCTGAACAAGAGATCAACCACACAAGTTAATAAAACAAGCACAAAGCGCGGTTTCTTATCAGTAATAATCGCAAGTGTTTTACGGGAACAAAAAAAAATGTTACCTTTAGCTCCATTAGCTCCTCCCTGCAAATAATGCGGTAACAAACACATGAAAATGTTTATGTTTAATACATGATTCACGAAGAAAGAATGAAAATCGAAAGGAGTTAGTTACCTGCTAGCTGTGTTCAAGAATTCGATGTACTCTTGAACAAGAGAACTCTGTCGAGAAAGAACCAATTATGTTGATCAAAATGGACGATAACGAAATTAATGTGTAACTAAATTAAATCGAAAAAAAGATATCCACGAACCTTTAATCTAGAACTCCGGGCGGTAAATTTATCGAGTGGGGTGTTCAATACTTGGAAGTCATTCTCAACATCACCTGGTATAGAAAACAACGACTTTGGTGTCTTTGGATCACAAGGACCAAAGTGTAAATTTCCATTGTCGGAGTTAATTGGAGAAAGGGCTTCTCTGTGGGGACTCTCGAGTGATTTGATATTCTTGGTTAGTAGTGACATGCTAATGGCTTCCTCCTCAACGAACAATGATTCATCTGGAAAAAAGTTTGTACGTCACCATAAAAAGAAATCGATTTTTTTTGTGAGAGAAAAAAAGATGCATTTAGATAGTGTACCGGGTAAAAAAGGATTCGATTCCGATAATATATCCCCGTAAACCGGGATGGCAAAATTTTCTTGATTAGTTTCAGCTGCAGCTAATTTTTGAGCCTGTGAAACAATTACATAAAATAATGAGATTTGTCGAACGAAAATTATATGTATCTATCTTCAACGAGATTTCCAAGATTAACCATTACCTCCTCACAGTGAAGTGGATAACCTCCACCACTGAATAGATTTCTGCCAGCTGTGCATGGACTTCTGTAGAGGAAAACGAAATGCTGAGTATCGGAGTTATTTGCATCTAGATAGTGCAGTAAAATTCGTTTACCTTCGTACGGCTTTAGTTTCGTTGGTGCGCGAACATGTATTAAATTTCCTTGTGGATTTCACCGAACTAGGAGTTCTACCAAGAAACGGAGAATGGCAAAACCCTGTTCTTTGAGCACTTTTCGTTTTGCCTTTTGATTCTAGCCAAGCAAGAAGTTTCGCTTCCATGTCAATTTTCATGTTCGAATTGCCATTTTTGTGTGATGGATATACAAAGTTAGAAACATGGCGAGACCTAGCTGCCAAGCTAACTGTATGAACGCATTCTTGGTACTCTCCTGGATTCTATTACGAAAACAAAGCTCAAGTTAATAATTTAGATTTTCGAAAAAACGGAGATACATATACGAAAAGATTGAGTTTAAGTTTATATACCAAACAAGCAACCATAAGAGCACGGCTTGTCCCTCCAAGAGAATCCTGTAATATTCGAGTCAATTTGGTTTCTCTATAAGGAATTCTTGATTTTCCGTTGTTAAGTGCGTAAATCACATTCGACAGTGCGAACAGAGATTGGTTTATCTTAGCACTTTCTTGAAGCCGAATTCCTTCGTTGCAAGTCCTCTTATTGTCTTCGTTTCCTAATTCCACAAATTCAAATTTTGACCCTCGATCAACAAAATAGAGCACAAACGAAATAAAATGCTATACACAAGTCTTTTACAAACCTGCTAAATCGATAAGATTAAGCTTCCCAACGACAGCATTGCCGACACTGCCATGACAAGGTGTGGAAATAGTAATTCCGAGCACACCGTGGCTCCTGCTCGATACATCATTGAGGCCCGTGTGAGCAACTTTTCGTCTCTGAATAGCAGATGAGAAGATCTCATTGAATCGGTCTATTGAGCCGACTTCAGTTTGAGCCAATCCTTTAAGATGTATCTGTCCGTCTTTATCTTCCCAAATCAAGATCTCCTTTTCTTTTGGATCCAATAGATCGTAGCATTTATCGAGGTAGATCTCGTAGTAAGATATCACTATTTTACTTCCCGTGCACTTGCACATCGACAAGATGTTCGACATGGCGAGCGGCATTAAACCAGGTAACTGATCACTCCCCTGCACTTATCATGTTTTTGAACTAACGATTAAGTTCCGTATATATACTGCCCTTTTGTTACATTAAAATTCTAATCGATTAACATACGAAACCAGCACAGCCTCGTGCTTTTTAAGGAACGGATTTAGTGATAAATACAACATCTAAGCAACTAGCCTATGCCTACTAGGTTTTAACTCGAAATCATGCAACTAAATTAACCAAAATACAAAATCGAAAAATCGAAGAACTTGGTTGTTCAGCTAATTTTGGAAGAAATCAAACCTGCATGGTGTAAGTTTTACCACTTCCAGTAGCTCCATAAGCAAAGATAGTTGCATTGAAACCCTGGAATATTCCTGGAATCAAAGGCCTCACTTCTCTCTCGAAGATCCGGCTCACGTTGTTGTCTTCCTGCCCGAAAAACGCATCCAATTTGTAGCACTCATTCCGACTACACCCGAAAAGGAAAACAAAAAGGAACTAAATCAAATCCCCCTTCTCCGAAATTAGAAATCATTCAAACCTAAACAAAAAGGCGAACAAACCTGGTTTCGTGATCTTTGAGAAGAAGAGTAACTTCATCGGAAGAAGATTCCGATTCTCGGAGAGAAACACAGGAAATTAGGTTTCCGTTTCCGGAAGAAAGCTCTCGAGGGAGAAAAGGTCGAACCCTAACGATTACTCGAACCTTCGAAATTGAACTCGGCTGATGATGATTTTTACCGGGGGTGGAAACCCCTTGTGCGTGAGTTGGTTTGATCCCACAAATTTCGGGTTGATTCGCCATAAGAACTGAGTTTAGCACAAATGCAATTGAAATTTCTAAAGAGAAGAGCTCTGTGTGGAGACCGTTAAGAAAAAGTGGGGGTTTGAAGTTTGAACGTTTGAGTTTTGAATGCGCGGTTGTTAACGTTTAAATTCGAATCTGGGCCGTTGGATTTTGGGAAATGGGCTTCATAAAAGTTGATACAGACAAAAACTAAATAACAATATTTGACTTTGACCCAAATTAAAGAAATGTTTAATATTAATTTATCAACTCATAAGTCAATCGAGTGTTTGATATATTATCTACAATTGGAATACTAACACTAAAAAAAATCGCTAAATTACGATCAAGGTAAGGTCAAATTAAAAAAAAAAAAATCTTTATGTTTGTATAAATACAACCACTTTTCAACTATGAATTTTCTTACATGTCCACTCTTATAGTATCAAATTCAACAAAATTATCTAGATTCCGTGGAATCTTTTCTAGTTTGTACTTGTTTCATGCAAAAATACAGTTTCTGATGCACCACAATCTGATTCTTACAAACCAAGAGACACATTTTATGATCATCTTGTTACAAAATGTAGAGCTCGATTGAAATACAATCGGTACAAATAGAATATTCCACATAATCTAGAAGATTATATTAAATTTAACACCGCAAAAGTGAACGTGTAAAAAAATAATAGTTAAGAGATGATCGTAATTAACATGAGGTTTTTTTTTTTATAATTTGGTCTTACATCATATGGTGACCGTAATTTATCCAAAAAAATATAAATAACACTTCTTTTCTTTTCTTTTTTACTTTAAAACTTCTATACATGCTAATTGTAATTTTAGTATATTTATGGGTAATTTTCAAATTTTGCGTATTCTATCTTTTATCAAATTTATTTTTTTAATAATCAAAGTAAATATATATTTTTTCTCAAAGTATTACCAGTAATAATGGTGCTCAAAGACCACTTATTGAGATAACCTATAAAAAAACTGAGTGATGAAGAAAAACAGAAAAGAAGCGTAAAGAGGGAGAATCGAAGAGAGAGAGAAAGAACATAAGAGAAGAAAGACCCGAGCTGTAGGCCGACGGAATTTGTGGATCCTCCTCCACCGCCACCACCGCCGCCGCCGCCGCCGCCGAGTTCGTGACCGTAAGTATTTGCTGATTTTATTTATAAAAACACTCTAGTAGGGTTTCTTGTCGAAGCAGCGCCTTTGTTCGGCGATAAGCCGTCTCCAGCGTGCGCTCCGGCGGCACTCGCCTTTAATTGCTATACAATTATCTGATTTCCGGTTTCAATTGAATAATGTATTTGCTGATCTGCTTTCAAACACTATTATTACTGCTTAATTCGAGAATTTTGTTACTTGCCCTAAAAAACTGAATCTTTAGGGTATGTTTGGCCCAGTTTTATCAAATTGGATTTGGGGGTTTGAGATTTCAATCGAATTTTGTTTTTAATGGTTTGTGTCCTTGTGTATACCCTTCCTTCGATATTGTATAGAGTCAGTGAAATATTTAATTTTGAAGATGCCATAACATAATTCATTGAAGGCTCAGTACGAAACTTGGTTTTCGATGCGTTTCTTTGTTTGTTCATACTGAATGTGCAGGGATTATTTACTTTCTTCGATATTGTCTTCAAAATTATATTGATAGCTGGCATTGCCAGTTTGCCACACCTTACTCTGTTAATCGAACACCATATTCATATAGAGTGATGTCTAATCTAATGAAATTAAGGGATACAATTGACTTCTAAATCAACAACAATCAAAACTTTTAAGTTTTAATAGTAAGTACTAACATGGATCGAAAGTTAAGCCAAGAAACCGACTATTTATTCAGGCTTCCACGGATCAATTTAGTCTTTCGAATGTAGTGTTTTATGTTCTCCTGCTTTGTGAAGGCTTCCATGATTTCTAATTTCTTGATTATTTAAAGAACTTCATAATTATGAAATAAAATTATTGCTCTATATTCTTGTTCAGTGTTAACAAGATATTTTTCTGATTCGTGAAATCTTTTGATTGGCTGATTTTTTTTGTTACTCGATAATCAACTAACATTGTCTCTTTATTTTTTGACTTGGTTCAGCTTAGAGCCTCCCGTAAACTGATTTTCAGAGATGGAAGACCAGAAGCATCTGTCAGTTAACCATGGTTCGGTTAGTAAGTCAAGAAAAAAGAAACCCGTGCCACAACACCCTGATATCTCTCAATCCCACGAGATACGAACATTTTCCGGACAAAAGGGGAAAAAGGGCACCAAAAGAGGTGCGATAAACGAAGCTCCACCAGTGTTCCAGACAGAGAGACACTTAATCCCGGATACAATGCCTGATTCTTCGACATCTGGCAACGAATACAGAGCTCTCAGGCTGAAGTACTTGCTCTTGGAGGAAGAAAGCTGTGGATTAGGAAAAGAGTTAGAGGCGGTTGAAGACGATATCAAAACCCTCGAAGAGGAGAAACTATCTTTATTGGATGAACTTGTCGTCTTAGAAGGGCTTATTGCTCCTTCGGATCTTCAACCGAGAGGACAGAGATTGCAATAAGTTGCATTATAATTTTAATACATGTTGCTACATATCCCTTGGTTTATTGTTTTTAGGGTAAATTACAACCACCCCTGAGGTATGGTCAATTTACGAAAAAATCCCTCTTCTTTGGATAATTACATATACCCCTCAACTATGATTTTTTCTTACACCTCCACTCTCATGGTGTCAAATTCAACATAATCATCTAGATTTCGTGGAATGTGCTCTAGTTTATACTCGTTTTGTGTAGAATTACAGTTTCTGATGCGACAAAATTTGATATATACAAGCCAAAAAACACAATTTATGATCATCTTGCTTCTAAATATTGAGTTTGAATGGGATAAAACGGGTATAAAAGTGATAATATTCCATATAATCTCGAAGATTCTACTAAATTTGAAACCGCAAGGGTGAACAGTGTAAAAATATTTATAGTTAAGAGGGTGATTGTAATTACCCAAACAAGAGGGGGTTTTCGTAATTTAACCATACATCAGGGGTAGTTGTAATTTACTCTTGTTTTTATGATCCAAACAAGTGTATAGTTTGTGTCAACTTATGTTCTCTGTATTTAGAAAGAAATATTCTATTTCTACTATTCTTATTTTCTTCCTATACTTTTTCAGACACTCAACTATATACGATGGTTCCACCAAATTTAATGGTATCTTCTAGATTATGTGGAATATTCTTCGGTTTGTATCCGCCACCCATGCCTGCCAAACCCTTAAATCAGCCTAGCGAATCCAGCCGCCATTGAGGATGCCCTAACTTGCAGGTTCTTGATTTATCTAGACGGCTTCCTCCCACAGGCTTTGAAGTTAATAGTACCACAACACCAACTGAACAATTAATTGATAATTACGTCTGAAAGAAACCCCTAACTACATGGAAGAAAAAAAAAAAAAAAAAGGACCATACATGCATTCTCACTAGATATGTAAGCCCAGTCCTCTGCATATTTAATTAAGGGTAAATTACAAACACTCCCTGAGGTATGGTCAAATTACAAAAACCCCCCCTCTTGTTTGGATAATTACATCTACCCCCCTCAACTATGATTTTTTCTTAGACCTCCACCTTTATGGTGCCAAATTCAACATAGTCATTTAGATTCCGTGAAATGTGCTCTAATTTGTACTATTTTTGTGTAAAAAATACAGTTTTCGATGCACCACAAACTGATATATACAAACTAAAAATCACATATTATGATCATCTTGCTTCATAATATAGAGTTTGAATGGGATAAAACGGGTACAAAAGTGATAATATTCCATATAATCTCGAAGATCCCACTAAATTTGATGAGTTGAGGGGTGGTTGTAATTATCCAAACAAGAAGGGTGTTTTTGTAATTTGACCATACCTCAGGGGGTGTTTGTAATTTACCCTTTAATTAATTAAGATATTACTCCTTTCAAAATCACAATAAATTTCAGTAGGTACCATTTTTAATTCAGCAATAAATAAGTGGCCTCAATGCCAATTTGCAGTCTTAATTAGTTTTTTCTTTTCCTAATTCGGAAGGATTGCAGTTATATATATAGCTTCTTACTTTCTTTCTATAAATCAGAAACTTGAATTGTTTGTTTTTTTAAAAAAAAGAAAAAGAAAAGAAAAAATGGCCATCTTTGAGTATCTTGAGATTTTCTTGTTTACCATCATCCCCATAATAACCATCCTTTGTGTTTGGAGAAAGAGTAACGGCGAAAAGACGTCGTTTTTGCCGACAAATTGGCCGTTGGTCGGAATGCTGCCGTCTTTTCTACAGAATCGCCATCGCATGCAGGATTACTTCACGAGATTCTGAGCGAATGCGGTGGCACGTTTCAAATGAGATTCCCCAGAATTTTCAACATGGATATGTTGATCACGTCCGATCCGTTGAATATAGATCACATCTTCAGCAAGAATTTCGCAAATTACCCAAAGGGCCGTCAATTCAGAGAGATCTTCGATATCCTCGGAGATTCCATTTTCAACGTGGACGACGAGTTGTGGGAATTCCAAAGGAAAACGACTCACTCGTTCATGACTGGTCCCGAGTTCAACTCTTTGCTGGAGAGTGTTGTTTGGCAAAAAGTCGAAAACGGGCTTCTGCCAGTTCTCGACTATTTTCTTCAAGGGGATATTGGTTTTGATCTGCAAGATGTTTTCCAGAGGTTCACTTATGATAGCATCTGTAAATTGGCGTTGGACTTTGACCCGGGGAGCTTGTGCGTTGACTTGCCGTTTATTCCATCCATGCAGGCGTTTTGTGATTCCATCGGAGCCGTGTTTTACAGGCACACTCTGCCGGAGGTTGTTTGGAAGCTGCAAAGACGTCTTCAAATCGGTACAGAGAGGAAGCTTCTAGAAGCTCGGAAAGTCGTCGACAAATTCATATATCCACTCGTCAATAATAATATTACGCAAGACGACGATGATCGTCGTCTCAACTTGTTGACCACTTTCAGAAAAGCGTACAAAGAAAAAAGTGTTTCTTCATTGTTATTATTAGGCGGCAATGGTGGTGGTGGGGGTGGTGCATCATCAAGAGAAACAAACTTCATGAGGGACACCGTGTTGGGTTTGATGTTCGCAGGTAGAGACACGTCAGCTTCTTGTTTGACGTGGCTCTTCTGGTTGATCGCCAAAAACCCTAGTACCAAAACCCTAATTCTCGACGAGATCGAGAAAGTGCTAATACATTTGAAAGGCGAAGGCGGAGAAGGTAGAATCAATTGGAGTTTATTCACCGTAAGAGAGTCGCGAAAGTTGATTTACTTGCACGGGGCGATGTGCGAGTCGCTAAGGTTGTATCCACCGGGGCCGTTGGAGCACAAATCTCCGACGAAATCCGATAATCTACCGAGCGGACATTACATAAAAGAAAATGATAAAGTCATCCTTTCTATATATATATATATATATATATATATATATATATATATATATATATTGCATTCCATATTTGTTTGTTATTGATGCAGGCTCAGAAGTTAAGTCTAGAGGACTGCATATAATACAATATATTTGTACTTTGAGTATGTTTATGATAATTGTGAATCATTAGTAAATCTAATGTAAGCCTACTTTTTCTAATTAACTCTGAAGAACTGTTTTTTATTTTTATTTTTAGAATCTATTTTTGACCTATTTTTTGAATGAAAAATAAATCTATATAAATGAGCCCTTTTAACAAATCATGCGCACTGTGTAGAAAATAGGAAAGCATGTCTGAACGAACAGTTTATTTGATGATACATTTGGTGAAATGCAACGAGTGATTATTAATTATTGATCTGCATATAATCAGACACACTGATGTGTATTCGTGTTTAGTGGGAAGTTATTTCATCACATCAACGATTAATATTCACCCGGCATATTTCACCAGGTGTAGCATCTCAATAAGCAGGAACGAAATAATTAATTAGGCAATCCCTAGTAGAAGATTGCTCAATTCATGTAATATTTAATGTCAATTTCCAATATCAGATGACAACATTTTGAATTTTGTCAGTCAGGGCAAATTACAGTGATTATATTTTCATCTAAATATATCTGAAATGCAGATTTATTATTACAACTTACTTACCTTAACCGCACAAAAATATCCAAATTAAATACCAATAAAGCCCTTCCGTCCTCGTTGCAATCATTGCAATACAGTCAAACATAGTAAGTAATTCTTAAAATCTGACATTTTTCATTTCCTTAAAAAGCAAAAAATTACGAGAATTTAAACACAATAATCTGTGCTTTATTATCACACAATCCATACTTATTTAGAAACAATTCAAAATAAATTACAAAAGAAAAAGTCCTGTTTCTTTGCCCGCCCTCATTCAATTGATGCAAATCCAAAATTCAAAAAAGAATTGTCACAATATTTCAATCACATCTATATAAAGGACCATTTCCAACAAATTATATGCACTCAAAAACCCTCAATTCATTCTGCATTTTGTGAAGCATATATCAATTTATTTAATTAGCCCTTCTTGGTTTAACCCTTTGACCCCATTCCCGAAATTCGATGGATTCTTACCCGGAGAAGAACAATGTTTACGAAACTAATGGGTCTTCCGATTCGAATGACGAACCAGAAAACCTCGAGGAGTCTACCGATTTTATTATTGTAAATTAAAGTCTTCATAAGCCTGATTTAATTTTTTTTAATTAAGCATTTTTACAAGTTCATATATATTTTTTAACATTATTTTTGTCCTGATTATTATTCGTACGTTGCAGTGGTCAAACGTGTTCAAATGTAATGTTGTGAACGGGGTACTTGCACCGGATCCGATATCCTGCGTACCCCTAGATCAAAATAGTCCCGATGAATCATCCGAATACGAGGTATATATATATACACGTACTTTATTTTATTTTTAATTTCTTAATTGAGGTTACATAATTTATATATATGTGCTTTGTTTTGTAGGAGGAACCAGAACCGGAACCGGAACCGGAATCAGGCCTGGATGAATCGAACGGCGACAGAAAGGGTAGAAATGCAGGAAACAAAAAATTAATGTTCAAACTTTATAAGTTTGCAAATGCTTTTGAGCAATATCTCCTGGAAAAGCACGAGGTATATATACATGTATTATATATTTATTTATATATATTATATATAAATAAATTAGTGTACTTTTTATGTAACACTTTTTAATTAGATATATGTGTGTGAAGGTGGAAACAGGGAATATAGATAGATGTCACGTGCAAGCGTACGAGAATAATGGAAGCTGGAAAGTGGGAGTGCACAAACTTGCAACAGGAGACCATGTGGTGCAGCCTGTCTTAGAGGATCCTACCCCTCCTCCATTCCTTAAGATATATCCATTGTCCTTACAAGATCGGCTTTTCGGATGGACGGTCGAGATTAGAAAACGAAGAAGCACCGGAAAAGACGATAAGGTACACACACATATACAATTCGAAATAACTAAAAGTACTCATTATTAATTCAAATATTCCTCAAATAATAACAACCTCGTTTTAATAATAATAATTCGACAGTTTTACTATCACGGGAGTAGACAATTTCGATCATTTATCGAGGTGGCAACATATATAATGTACTCAAGCAAAGTGAAGAACCTGCAGAAAGTTATAGCTAGTCCTAATGATCAAAATCCGTCACAAGATGATCCCGTAAGTAGTTAATTAATTAATTCCCATTTTTTGAAATTTTAATTTTCTCGTATGTTATATAATTTTATTTTTATAATCCGATTGAGTTAATTTTGACCATTTTGTGTTTCATGTAGTAAGTAGTAATTGTCACAAATCGACATCTGTTTTGTTGCTATATTGCGCAGGAGGCGGAAGCTATTGAGGCGATGATGAGAATATCGTCATCATCCCGGGCAACCACTAGCATTAGTAATAAATATAAGTAATAAATCCGTACTCAGTACAATTATATAGTTGGATGCGAGTTCTTTCATTTAAAAAAATGTAATGAGTAACAACTCATGAAATAAATTGATGATCCTAATTTCCAATAGCGTGTACAATTTATTTAATTCAATGCAAAAAAAAGAAAAGAAAATTCTCTTGCTAGCACTAATGACTTACTCAATATATAATAAATTAATAATGTTATTAGCGATTGAATTATATTTTTCATTTCCACTTTAATTTGATGGGCTTATTTGGGTTTCTGTACAAAATAGAATACAAGACGAATCTTGGGCCCATTAGAATTTGGCCCAATTTATTACCTACCCATATTATAACAACGCGACTATAAAAAAGATAGAAAAAACGACTTTTGGGTGAAATTAAAGTCAATTTTAGCTTCACCTGTTTCTGCAACCTTTTTGGTGTCAATTTTTTTTGAAATGGACCATAGTTGACAGAAATGCAGCTACGTAAAAAAAGTTAAAATTATGGCGTCGACCAATCAACATCAATAAATTTTGTAATAATGTCATAACCCTATCGAGGAAGACGATTTGGCTACGCAAGCGCATAAATAATTAAAGTCTTAATTTGTTACATAGGAGTTGGTGTGCGGTGCACGTGTCAATTGATCCATGTTTTGAACCCTTATGATCAGTCATAGTGTGGTTTACAGCTCTTGCAGGGTTTGCAAGTTATTATACGAGCGTGTATGTTTATTCAATGAATCTGCATGGTTGACTGCACCTTACTTCTTTAATATATATATATATATATATATATAATTTAAAGAGCAAATTACAGCCACTTGAGGTTTGGTCAAACTACGAAAATTCCCTCATGTTTGGGTAATTATATCCACCTCTTCAACTATGTATTATTTTACGAAAATACCCCTCCAGAGGTAAAATTCGGGATGTTAAATCAAACCGATTTTTTTCTTTTCGAGCAAAATCAAACCGAAATTTTGGTACACCAATATTTCATATCATTTACCGATCTGAATATACGATTTGGTTCGGTAAATAACCGAATTACATAAAGTTTATATAAAAATATTTAAAAGAAGGGGAATGACTGTAATTATTCAAACAAGATGATTTTTTTTGTAATTTGGCCACTCAGTGTGGCAGTAATTTGCCCTAATTAAAAAAAAAAATAACTCAACAATATTGCTATTATAATTAATGCAGGCATTAATTCAATTGTCTTTCAAAATCAGCTTTAAATGTTATCTAAAGGGTTGTGGTACTAGTTATCCATATTAAGAAATGATGAGAATTCCGTTGTGCAATAAATGCAACACTAAATTGTGGTGGAAATTAATTGAGTGGAACCAACCAAAATAGTGTTCAAGGTTTTGATTTATTTATTCCTTTCATTTAAATTAAAAATATTAATTTAATTTCAGTATTAGTGATTAGGCTAATTCAACTTAATTCAGTGCTAATTAGTCAAACACCTCTGATAAAAAAATATTATCTCTCCTCAAATTGCCTCTCTTTGAACCACATAGTCAATACTTTCAACTGCTTCTTTTTTTTCTTTATTGACATAAGAATAATGGGCATCATTATTTTATTCTCCAACTTATATATATATAATATATAATACTTTTTTGTTGGTAGTTCATAGTGATAATTGAATAAGTCCATCTGGCTTGATGTTCATTAAAATTAAAAAATAAAATAAAAAATAAAGAAAATTCTAATTGGTTCAGTAATTACTTCTCAATCAGTCTAAAAATATTAGAATTCCTTCAAAAAAAAATATAGAGAAAAAAAATTTGTTCTTTGAGTAGAAAAAATTACTTAGTGACATTATTTTTCAAGAAAATGGTAAAGAAATCAAGAATTCCGTACAGAAAGGTATCTTCATTTGGATATGGAAGAACAAATTTGGATATGGAAGAACAAATGACTTACCTTAAACTCCACAATTATTATAAACAGTACTACTAATCTAAGCTCAATTAATCAACCAGACTGTGTCACACACCATTAATAAAGTAGTTGAATTTACTTTGAAACTTTAATTAATATTTTAATCATGATTTGAAGTGGAAAGAAAGAAGAGAGAGAAAGAAGAGAGAGAAAGAAGAAGAAGAAGAAGAACCCACCTCAGTATTTGTCTGTCCTAGTAAAGACAATAAAGAAGCAAGTCAATCTTGCACATACTAAAACAACAAAGAACAATTCTCTTGTCTGATCAAAACCCACAAACACTCAATTTTCCCACTTTCCATTCTGTTCATCAGCGTAATCAAGATTGCTTCTTTTTGTGTTCTCTTACCTTAGAAAATATCTCTGGTCCTAAATTTTGTAGAGAGAGAAACACACATAACTTAGAGAGAGAAAACCAGAGGTATTTTTGCTGCTGACACTTGATTTTAAGAAGAGAGAACAAGAATTTTTCAGAGGGTTCACATTAGATCTGGTGCCCATACTATTAAGCTTGGTTCTTACATTTAGCTTGGTCCCTGAGCTCAACAAATCTTTGTTAATTTTTGCTTATTAGCAAAAAAAAAAAAAAAAAAAAAAAGGAATCTTGAAGGCCCTTTTGGAAGTTTAGATGGGGATCTGCTTTAGCAACCAGATAAAGGCTGAGAGCCCTTTCCACACTGGTACAGGTATTTTTGTAAATCTTTAGCTTTTTTCATGGTTTGATTTCAATTTTGTACTGCAGATAATGTTTTATTACTTTTCTTTTTGAGGATGTTTTAGGGTTTTTTTTGTATCTTCCCTTTGTAATGGAATTGTAACCATTTGTTTACTTTGTAGTATGATTAGAAATTTAGCATCTTGAATCTGGTATATATTCCATGTTTGCTGAGTACAAGGTTGCTAAATAGTAAATACAATGCTACCTTAATCGAAAGAAAAAAGAAAAAGAATCGAAATAACAGAGTATTCGAGGCCGGTGTAGTTGCATCGTAGATTTTATTGATGGTTTTTTCTATTTGTGGACAACTAAATATCATTAGTAATAGCCAAATTATCAATTTTCCGTTATACGGCTAATAATGCGTGTGTGTGTGTGTGTGTGTGTGTGTGTGTGTGTGTATAGGTGTGATTTCGTCTAGAATGGTGAGTGGGGATGGGATCGAATTAAGTAACTCAAGCAGCAAAAGATCATCTTCATCAGTACCTCCGACTCCTCGAACCGAAGGTGAAATATTACAGTCATCCAACTTGAAAAGCTTCGGCTTTAGTGATCTTAAGGCAGCTACTAGAAACTTCCGTCCCGACAGTGTACTAGGAGAAGGAGGCTTCGGTTCCGTTTTCAAAGGATGGATCGACGAAAATTCTTTGGCAGCATCAAAGCCCGGTTCTAGTCTCGTTGTAGCTGTCAAAAGGCTTAACCAAGATGGCTGGCAGGGTCACAAGGAATGGTTGGTATGTGAAAAAAATTCAATCTTTAATTATAAACCCTTTATTTCAAATTTGTAAGTATATTTGTCGATGCATGCGCAAAGAATGGGTCGAATGTACGATTAATCGGTACAGTGCTTCTAATTGTAGTACTTCTTATGGATTATATACAGGCTGAAATCAACTACTTAGGGCAGTTGCGTCATCCGAATCTTGTACGATTAATCGGTTACTGCTTAGAGGATGAACACAGACTATTGGTTTACGAGTTCATGCCAAAGGGTAGCATGGAGAATCATCTTTTCAGGAGTGAGTTCATCGTAAATAACCTACTAAAAATAGCCTAATTTAATATAATCTCTATTAAAAACCCTAAAAAACCCGAGTGATATTTATTTAATGATGATTATAGGAGGATCTTACTTCGAGCCACTTTCTTGGAGCCTACGAATGAAAATTGCTATCGGCGCTGCAAAGGGACTCGCCTTTCTTCATAATGCCGAAACGCAAGTAATTTATAGGGACTTCAAGACTTCTAATATCCTCCTCGATTCGGTATTATACCCTTTTCTCAGCTATTTTTTTCAATTTATATATACTCATTTTTCGATAAGTTCAAGATTTGATTAATTGTGATTCTTATAGAACTACAACGCGAAACTTTCTGATTTCGGGTTGGCAAGAGACGGACCCACCGGCGATAAGAGTCACGTTTCCACTCGAGTAATGGGTACTTACGGGTATGCAGCACCCGAATATCTATCCACAGGTATGTATATAGTTTAGATATGATTTAAAAATTATTTATTAATACATTCTCCTAATTAAAAAAAAATATTGCATTATTTATAGGACATTTAACTGCGAAGAGCGATGTATATAGTTACGGTGTGGTTCTTCTCGAGATTTTGACTGGGAAGAAAGCTATAGACAAGAACCGCCCGACGGGTGAGCATAATCTTGTTGAGTGGGCAAAGCCTTACCTCACAAACAAAAGGAGAATATTCCGTGTTATAGATGCTAGAATCGAGGGTCAGTATTTGGCGGATCGAGCTGTGAAAGCAGCTAATCTTGCACTTCAGTGCATATCAATGGATCCAAGATCCAGACCTAATATGGATGAGGTGGTATCAGCTCTAGAGAATCTCCAAGATTCCAAGGAATCTTCCAAGAATGGTCATCGGAACAATAATAGCCAATCGAGGGGTGGGCCCAAGTCATGCAAGAGTGAAGAAACGAGAAAAACAACGGCTTATCCTAGACCTAAGGCTTCTGCGCTTTATGCATGAACTTTTGTTTCGGTTCTTGTTGTGGACTTGTTCGACTGTATTTCTGATGCTTGTAAAGTTTATTTTTTTCCTTTTTTTTTGGTGTTTATTTAATTAATGGGATGCATTTTTGTAACCTGTGGAGAGTTATGAGGTGCTTGTAGTCGAATCATTTCGATGTTGTTCGGAAAATATTACGAGATCTTCTTTAGCTCCGTTTTGGCTATGATCTGGATATTGTAATTTTGCTCCAAAATCAAGGCAATGTTTGGAACCGTTTTGGATCTTATTTTGATTTCATTTTGAGGAAATATGTTTTGGGGGAATAATTTGAGAATGAAAGTAATGTTTGTTTGTATTTTGGAAGGAGACAAAATACACTGTAGAAGTCAAATCATGTTTAAAGGTGTTAGAAAAAGATATTTTTTAAGAAGAAAATTGAAAGGTGAAGTGATGTTTATTTGTTTTTTAGTAAAGACATTTTTTACTGTAGCAATCAAATCATTTTACTGTAGCAGTCACATCATGTCTGGAGGAGAGAGAAACTTTTGAAATTGTTTTGAGAAAATGATTTGAAAAGTGTAATAAATCTCATTTTGTTTTGGGGAAACAGTGAGAACAAAATAAAAACGGTTCCAAACATTGCCCAAGATTTTGTATGCTTTCCTCTTCTTTAACTATTTACTTTCTTGCTCATGTACATTACAATATCAAATAAAACATTTTACCTATAATTAGACTTCTTAAGATAATATTAATACCAAGCCGTCTTAGCTCAGCTGGTAGAGCGCGTGGCTTTTAACCACGTGGTCGTGGGTTCGATTCCCACAGACGGCGTTTAAATTTGTTTATTTTTTTGCTTTTTATTGGGCCTAGAATAATGGATTATGGGCTGCTTTTTTTCAGGCCGATTTAATTTCATTTTTATGTATTGTGTATTAATATTATGGTTTTGTTGGGCCATATATCCTAAAGCTTCTATATAACTAACATGCATGTTAAATTTTATTCGATTAAAAGAGGAATAATTCTCCAAAAATGGATATGCTATTATTATTCATTTGTAAAGACAAAAAGCATTTTCCATTGGTCAATGAATAATGTATTCACCATGCTTTGTTCTTGGATATAAAGTGACTTCTTTTTTCATGCTCAAATTTCAGTCAACCATTCATTGGTAATTGAATTTATTCTTTTTGTTTTTCCCCAGGCCCAAGATTGTATGTAGTAGTAGTAGTAAAGGTACATATTCTGCTTTTTACACTTTGTAAGAATTCTCTAGGCCCATCACCACATTAAAATAATATTTAATGCAGCCCACAATATGCTTTCAATAAAATCACTAAGGCACATATTCTTTTGGATTTTACTTTTTATTTTATTTATGCAAACTTACCACACGAACCATACACATTACATACAACTTGACTTGGTTAGTATTAATCATTTCAAGAAGTCCAAACAAAAAATGAGAGAATATTATTTAAAGAAGACTTTTTTCACAGACTTACAAAAATTACTTAAGAATTAATGTGGAATCAAGAATAGAGAATCATAGTATATGAGATTTTTATTTTTGAACGCATGATATATTTTAAATAAAGTTAATGGTCCTCTACCATATTATATTACATACATTATCATTTTTTTTTTTTTTTTTTAATCAAGATTTCTTTTGTGATGAAAGATAAGGTATAAATCCCATTCTCCCTCACACTAAAAAAAAACAATTAAAATATGGGACATAAGCAATTAATGAAGAGGGTAATGCAATAAATTGGAAATGCAATGCAGCAACCAAATAAGCAGTGAGTTTTGCTAGTTGAGTTGAGGCTCTATGTATATTATTTTGCAGATCCTACGTACTACGTAGCTATAGCTACCTAATTATTTTAAATTCCGACTTGTCAATTTTTAAATTACGTTTTTGGTGAGAAAAAAATTAATAATAATAAATGAAGAAGAACCCGACATATCAACTACGCTTTCATCTTCACAACCGACAAACTCCACACAAATGACTATGACATTTTCTTTTTTTACAAGTTACAACTGTTTTTCCAGTAGCCGAATATTAACTGGTCATATGTTAATTTACTAAATTACCTATATATATATATATATATATATATATATATATATATATATATATATATATATATATATATATATATATATATATATATATATATATATATATATATATATATATATATATATATATATATATATATATATATATATATATATATATATATATATATATATATATATATATATATATATATACATATATATATATATATATATATATGCGCGCAAACACATATAATATATATAACGCGCGCGAGTATATATATTACATACACATATTGATATATATACCCACATATATATATATAAACAAAAATGTAACAAAATATAAATATATACACATATATATATATATATATATATATATATATATATATATATAGATATATATAGA